ATCTTTCTATACCGATAATTTTTTTCAAAAATTTAATATAAAATGTCACTATATCGACATTTTGGATTTTTTTACTAATGTCTCAAAAATGTCGATATACCAGAGTAACGTTGAGAAGGTGTCAACCGGTTCTGGTACGGAACTCGTCTGGAGAGTTTTGGTTACATCTAGGTTCATAGTTCAACAAGTCAACAAACAATCACTACAAATCCAACAATCAACCCTAAGTTGGTAGGCTGAAAGAGGTCATGGAGGATTTGATCCGGGTTTTAGGATTACAGAGAGGATTTGTTTGAGGTGAGTGTTGTTTGGTTCTTGGTCTTTAATTCTAGTAGTTTCGGTTTTAGTCTTTCGGTTTCTTTATACTTTTACTTTTATCACGTAGCACGTGATCTGAATTTCGTTCCGATTGGTTATTGATTTAACAATGGGAATTCTTATTCGAAAGGGTTTTTCTATAAGACTATCTAGGGGCGATTGATTGATTGTTTTACTGATTTGGAAATTCAACAATTAGTACGCAACTTTACTTTCACGGGTTCTTAGGCAGAGGTGTTTATCAATGACAATATTTTAAATAATAAGACTTTTTCAGTACAACACTTCTACTCGAATTTCGAAGTTTGTATTTTTAGTCAATTATTGAGTTTCGATACAGGGACATGTGAATTTTGCTGTGATCGATTTGTTTCGATTGTTAATAAAATTATTGTAATATTTCGTTTAGTAATGTAAAATATAATAAAATCTTACATTTTAATAGCGTTAGTTCAAAAAAATTTTACATTTCTCGAAAAAAAAAACTTAGTGCAACTCACTTTTTTAAAAATTGCAAACTTAGTGCAACTCACTTTTTTAAAAATTGCAAGTTTTTTGTTTTTACGAAATAAAATTTTAGATATTATGTTATTAAATCGGTACTTTAATTTTAATCACCAGTTAATACAGTAATAGTAAATCACATAATTTATTGTTATCAAAAACAGAATTGATTACAGATTTCGCATGTCCTTGTTTCGATATGACTTTTGAATTTCGAGAGGCATCATTAGTTCTGATATAAGTTTCGAGTTCCGATACGAGTTTCGAGTTCCGATATGAGTTTCGAGTTTCGATACAAGTTTCGAGTTTCGATACAAGTTTCGAGTTTCGATATGAGTTTCGAGTTTCGAGAAGTTTCGAAAATAAAATTTTGTCGAAACTAGTTTCGAGACAGTTTCGATATCGATGCTCTCGAAAGTTTCGAGTTTCGAGAGGCATCATTAGTCTGACTTCGGTAATAGTTTTATGATCGATTAGAGTCTAGCTTCGGTAATAGTGAAATATATTTTATGATTTTTTCGTTCATACGAACAAAAATTGTCTAATTATTATAAAAATTATTAGCGTTAGAAAAAAATAGATAATTACATATATACATTGCAAAATAGCAACACGTTTTTACCTGTAATATTAGGATCATATTCAAAATTTAAATCATATAAATAGAACATCTGATAAGTTTAAAAAAAAACCGAAAATAAATTTTTAAAATTTATATACAGCTCATTCTTATCCTTTTTTTGATATATTCATCATCTACGCAAAACGAGCCAACTTGTTTGGCCATTATGAAATTTACACTTGTATACTTTATTTTTCTGCTTCCATCTTTTTTTTGAAAAATGTTCGGACCATTATATATCTGATTGAAATTCGATAGCTTCTAGCCTTCTGTTTCTTACTGGCCATAATTTCATTTTGTATGATATTGAAATCAACGGACAGTTCATTCTAACTTACTAATGTCTTTTTCATTTAATAAAATTATCACACTGCTTATATTGGATTTATGCGACCAATCCAGGTCACTATCAGAAATATAACCTTTTGGTTATAATAACTCCAAAAGGTCAGTTGGTAATTTCATCATATCTATAAAATTATTCATTTCGTAGAGAGATTATACAAGGTTTAAACATTGTATTGGAACAATTTTACTTAATTATTGTGGTGGCTGAAGCTGAAAATTTTTAATATTTTTTTTGAAATTTTTTGAGGTGCATTTTTTTAGTTTTAGTTTTTTTTTTTTTCATAGTTAGATTAGAATTTAGGATTAGGGTTTATATTAAAAGAATATAAGTAGATTTTAGCAGGGCTTATAATTTCAAATCAAGACCTCTAATTTTCAGCTTCATACTCTACAATTATTATTATATTTTTATAAAATTTTTACTCACTATTTCATCAAAATTCGTCGGGACTTATAACCCTCTTTAAAGAGTAAACCCCTTTAATGGGCTTATTCCCTGTCTGAATGCATGGGGCACTTAATAATTATGCCTGACATTTTTTATATCATAATTCGACTAAATAGACGAAGTGGTAGGTGTAGATGTTGGCTCGGTTATTTAAAATCTCGAGTTTTGTTTAATTAGTCGTCATCCCATATCTTTTTTCCTTTTTTTTTGTAAATAAATATAAATTATAGTTTATGTATTAATGTAAATTATAATTTCCTAAATAAAAAAAAATTATTTATGATATACATACCACTACGTACTTTATGAGTGTATGAATCGATTCGTATACTGCTGGTTTTTGTGTTATCCTCACTCCACAATGCGTGTATCAGCATCAACAAATGTATTTTCTGAACCATCTGAATTCAACAAAAATCATTTCTCTTATTTCTACCTTCTTGGTGATATTGTCTTTCTCTTTAATATTTCTGATGGCGAATAATGAACTTGTATACTGGTTCGATTTGTAAATTTGAACCACAATAAATTTCACTCAATATTAAGCAATTAATGATTATATTAGAGTAAATTTTTTGGATTCAAATATTTTGAACATTTTTTGCACACGTCTTATCATCTAATAGTTAATAAGTCCCAAACGTGCATTATGATCAGTGTAATTTTCGGGTAAATATATAATAATTTGATACTATCCTTCATAAAATATACTTTTTACCTCATCATCTCCATTTCTGTATAAAATCATTTGCTAATAATAATATACAATTATTATAATCAAAATAACAGTTAACATTACTCAATAATTATTAGTGTTAAGTGGTTCGTTTCGTAAAAAATCTTTTAAGAGTCGAATTCATAATAAGATGCCATTATAAGTTGCCAAAAAAAAAAAATAATTAAAAATTCTGATAGGAATAATTATAAATCAAATTTCTATGATCAGTGATGCCAAAGTTAAAAATTCCTCTGACCAATAAAATTTTTAGATCAGGAGTAACTTGAAAAAGCATAGGCTTTTATTGGCTGAAATTGGGTTAAATATGATTGGCGATGATCCTTTTTTTTTTTTTTTTAGTAATTTTAATGTAAAAAAATCAGGTTTTTGACTTTGCAATATTCATTTCATGTGATATTTAGAATAATTGCACTGACTATCATTGATAACTTATCATCTTAAAGATGGTATAGTTTAAATGTAGTTTAGGGCGTTTTCAAGCGCCCTAATCAATGGAACAAAAAGTGTCGGGGAAAAATTTTACTTAGTGGAAAATATTTTCAACAGTTTTATCTTATAATGAATAATAGCATATTTGGTTATAGTAATGGAATTGATGGCTATCTAAAATCTGATCTAATTACTTAAAAGTTTATTGCGTAAATAAATATTTTATTAATAAAAAAATATATATTGAGATTGACATTTCAATTTACAACTTTTTACCACAAACCATCTTTTCTTATACCCTACTCGACCGTTAATAGAGTATTCAAAGAGATCGCTTAAGCAACTTATCCATAAGGCCTATAATGTACTATATTCTAACTCGATAATTTGGTTATAATTCTTGTTTTCAAAGGCCGGTAGCGTCTGCTATTTCTTATTAGATGTTTACCTTTTTTTATTTATTTGATTTTTTAGATTTTTGACGATAATATTGATAAATAATTTTAAGGATAATAAAGAACTGACTAGTATCGAGAATGATGCTTGACAAATCTTCAATTGCGTCATATTATAAATAAAAACTTTAAACTGCTTAGATAGTATTAGTGACAATGACCGTATTCAAAGTTAATTCAGAAGTCTTCGTAATATAGCTAGATGTTTAAAATGGAATATATAAGTTGTAGAGACGAATTCTAGTTTAAGCTGCTATTTCTTAATGAAGCAACATTGGAATTATTATTTTGAATTTATCTGTTTACTTGCACAAATGAACCAATTTCGTTAGACTGCCGAAGAGAGTTATCTCCGGGTCAACTTATGGGGTTTTGCGGATGTATATGCTCAAAGCGCACTGCAATTGCGCGACGCCAAACCTTAATTAAAAAATCCTACATTTTACAAAAGTGATTTTATCCAGAAAATTCTATGTGCAGTAAAAAAAAATATATATAACTTATATTAAAAACTTAATCCATATTGAGTTTAAAATCCGAATTTCGAATTGCAGCCAAATAACTCGCATGTGGTTATGGTTTGAGCACAACCACAGCGGAGTGATTTATGCGGAAAATCTAAAGTAAATTTTAGATTCTCTTACGTGTTGTGACGTCTTTTTAATAGAAATATGGCTGAGATATGTGAGCCTCAGTGCATGTTCTAATATTCTAGAGAACAATATGTGATTATTACATGTACCTTACTACCCTACTTTTTTAATCGATTATATGCAATTAGGTTATGAATCGTACGTACGTACGGTACGTACGTACTTAGTACTGTATGTTATTGTCATTGTTTCAAAATAAGTAAATTTTTTTCAAATTAAGTAATGATTTTCTTGAAATTGCTTATCGGTTTTTCCATGCTAAATAAAGCTGGTTGATGCAACATTTGCTTTCAGTTCTCCCAAAAGATTTTAGGTATTAGTTTTTTGTTGTACAAAATCGTAGGATAATAACCGCAGACCGGATAAACCAAAAAATTTAAATAAAAAAAATCAATCAATCAATAAATCAATATACGAAATGTAAAAATTTTCATTATTTAAAGGCAATGCCGCCTTAATTCTGAACCCTCATAAACAATCAGAGATGAATTTAAAAAAATCTGTCGATGTTCAATTTGCATTGAACATTACTCCAGGGATTGGCATCCTAAAGCCTTCTAATGAACGTTCATCTTACGATGAATTGTCAAGTATGTGGCCACGGCCGTATCAATTAACTATTAATGAAAATGAGTTAATCATGCCAGCGTATAATTCTCGACGCGCTGTGCAATATCGAAATAACCCAACTTTCTTCTCACCGCCGAGACCCCCAAATGAATTCGTTTTATTTAGGAAAAATTTTTACGCAAAACTTAAGTCAGACGGACTAAAAGTTGATAATAAAAAAATTTCTGGTCTTGCATCGAAAGACTGGAGGAATCAACCTCCATCCGTTTATAACTATTTCAAATTCCTATCAGAATTAGCTAAAGAGGAGCATTACAAATTATATCCAAATTACAAATATACTCCTAAAAAAAAAGAAATAAAAAAAATCATTTCTAAAAAAACGTATAATAATATTGAAATCGAAAAAAATGAACAAAAAATTGTTGATGAAATGTTTGATAAGTTCATCAATTACCAATTCGTTAATAATTAGTTTTCGAGTTTTTTTGTTTTTTTTTTTTTCTTAAAAGATTTTTGCATTTCTTAACCCTCTAAAATATATGTAAGTAGATATTAGGAACTTATATTCTTTTAAGATTTATGTTAGTCTCTATTCAATAATATAAGATTTGGTTTCATACTAAGCTGTAAGATTTTTCATACTATTTTATAAAATAATTTTATGATTTATTGTTCTTTATAAGCTTTTACGGTATGTATTAAAAAATATGAAGATATTGAATTAATCCATTAAAAAAATGAATGTTAAATATGCAATTATGAAATAAAAAATAAAAGAGATGATATGATTAGAAGACAATAATTAATAATTTCGGGTTTTTAAAGAATTTTTATAAATGCTAAAGCTTTATTGTAACTCTATTTAGAATTTAAGTTTAATCAGATTTAAATCACCTTTGCATGTTTGTATTAAAGTTTTCATAATCGATTCTTTTTTTTTTTTTTTTAACTTTTACGCGAATTACACTATTAACATGGTGCTTGCGAAACCATAGCAATTATAAAAATAATATACAGGATTAAGTAATAAAAAAGAAAAATAATAAACAGATATGTAGATGAATTAATAATACATAAAAATGTAATAACTGAAAATAATCAATAATGTATAATGAAAATTAAATAAATTGCTTTTTCTGAAAATATTTTTAGCAACTAAAAATATTTTAGGTAGCCAAAAATATTTTAGGTAGTCGAAAATATTTTTGATAGTTGAAAATATTTTAGATAGCTAAAAATATTTAAACAGTTAAAAATATTTTAAGTAGCTAATATTATTTACAGTTTAGGTTATCTAAAATATTTTTAGCAATTTTTATTCACAGCAAACCAAAAATGATTTAAATATATATGTATATATATAAGATACTTATATAATACTTTGCTGATACTTATATAATACTTGTTAAAAATTATAAATACAAGTAGTTTTCTTTTATTTACTCTTCAGTTGTTTAAACCTTAATTTCTTCTTTTTCTCTTGTATCTAACTCTTAATATATTTAATTAATAAAGATATATTTATTATTAAATAAATCTAAATAGATTGCTTTTTATAGAGTAAAACTTGTCTTTATAATTAGTTAAAGAAATTTTTTTCTTAAGTACTGCTTCTGAAAGTAATTAGATAGTTATATTGCTATTACTTATAGTATACTAAGAAGGTTATGCTATCTGTAATACTACTAATATAGATCAAAATTTTTATTTTTTTAAAATTAATTAGTTATTAATTTTTATATTAGCTAAATATAAACAATCTATTATTAAGCAGATAGTAGGCTATTATATAATAAATTAAAAGTAATATTTTAAAAATAAAATGATATTATATATTAACTAAATATTAGCTATTTATCTATAACTAATTATTTTATCATATTTTTTCATATATTCATCTATTAGTATCTATTAATATTCAATATTAAACTAATATTTTTTTAAAAATTTTAGCTTAATATCAGATACTAATAGATACTAATAGATATATATTTAAAAAAAATATATCAAAAGAATTAGTTACAAATAAGATAGCTAATATTTAGTTAATATATAGTATTATTTTATTTTTAAAATATTATCTTTAATTTACTATATACTATTTACTTAATAATAAGTTGTTGTATATTTAGCTAATATAAAAATAATAATATCTAATTAATTTTATAAAAAATAAAATATTATTTTTACTAATTGTCTTAATTTTATTAGTTTTTTGTTTATAAATTATAAAAATTTTAATTAAAATTACTTTAATAACTACTTAATTCAAATTTATAATTAAACAAACAATATAATTAAAAAAAAACTAATAAAATTAAAATAATTAGTATAATATAAATAACAAAATTTATAATATAAATAGTAGTATCTAATTTTATAACAGATTTTATAACTATTTATAAAACTATTTCTAGAAATATTTAATATAGCAGATTAGAACTTTATTTACTTTTTTTTAAATTTAATTATTCTGTTTACTTCTTATTATTTATAAATTCTTTAGATATATCTTCTATTATATAATTTTATATTAGTTATATTATTAAAAATTATTTTTTTAAATATTTTTATTAAAAAACAGATATAGCTTTATTAATATTTTAAGTTTTATTAGTTATATAACCTTTTCTTTTTATTTTTTAGATTTTTAGTATATTTTAAATTTTACTATATGATATAATAATTTATTTACTATAAAGCAAACTATATATTTAGTTTTTATAAAACTTTAAATTCTTTTAATAACAAATATCTTTTATTTTTTTTTTTTCCTTTTCGGCAAGCCATGCCTTATCATTTATTCAATGTAATTAAAAAACTACAAGGGTTACAATG